ATCCAACTCCAGGTTGAGCTGTTGTTCAGCATCTTAGCTGTAGAGGGCAGTGTCACTGGCCCTCATATGTGGGATCTGAACCAGGGTCCTCTGGCGTCCCAAGCCAGCTCTTAACCATCGCACCACTCGGCCGGCTCAAGCTTTTGTTTATGTGGGTTATTTCTTTCTTTCTTTTTTTTTTTTTAAAGATCTTATTGGGGAATTGGGGAAGGGGAACAGCCAAGTTGTTGTCCTTCAATCTTAGTTGTGGAAGGCATAGCTAGTTCAACCCCAAGTCCAGTCGCCATCCTGACACCCGATGGCAGCTCGCAGCCGCTCAGCTCAAGGTGCTGTGTTCAATCTTAGTTGTGGGTGGGTATAGCCCACCATCTCATGCGGGAGTCGAACCAGCAACCTTATTGTCAGGAGCGTGTGCTCTTACCATCCTGCAACCATCCTGCAACCTGTTGGCAGCTCAGCAGCACCTCAGCTCAGGCGCAGCTCACTGGCCCATGTGGGAATCGAACCAGCGACCCTCTTGCTCAGAGCTCGCACTCTTAACCAACTGAGCCATTTAGCTGGCCCTATGTGGGTTATTTCTATGAAAAAAAGTTAGAAATGGGTTTGTGTTTTCTTGTATTTAAAAATTTATCAGTTTTAGTTAGTCTTAGTGGTGCCATCAACACACATGCAGCTCCTGGCAAACTCGACTGTATACTCATGAGAAAATGAAAGTTAAAAAAAAAAGTCTTAGTATGATGACAATAGTTTTGGCCTCAGAGATGTCCACTGTTATCATGAGAATCACTGCTATTATGGTACATTCTGGCTCTGTCACTTTCTAATTGGTCAAGCTGCTTAATCTCACTATCTTATTGGTTTAGTGAGTACTAGTGAGTATTCAATCTTGTTAGTATTCAATAAAATAACATGTGTTAGTACCATTGAATAATTACGGGTAAGCACTCAATACAGGTAGCTGTTATTAATATGGGTCTTGTATCTGACTGAGAAGTCCTAGCTCACTAGGATAGTTATATAGGGGAGCAGGAATTATCTGTACCAGTGAGTGTTACATCATGAGTCCTAATGGGCTCCTATCCAACCTATTCTTCCATTCCCATAATTTCCACGTATTTCCGAGTAAAATAATATTGTTTTACTAAAAATACCCATTTTCTAAAATAAATGTGACTGACAGAGAAAGAAGATAACATGATAGTTATTTAATGCTTTTATCATTTCTGAGCATTTTGATTGATCAAAGAGGAAGACTGACATATTTTATTGATATCACTCAATTTTCATTAAAAAATAAAATCTGTTTTCACAGAATAGTCTATCCTATAAAAATGGTATTTGTACCAAGGAAAAGTTCAGCTCAAGAACTGTTACAACAAATATGACTAAAGTTAGCATCTCTGATCTCCAAAACAGGTTTTCCAGTGTAAGCTACTGTGACTTATTTCAGAGCCTCTTTATACACTAACACTCCGGTGACATCAAGAGTTGGGAATTTGCTGAGACCTGATTTGGTTCAATAATTTATGAGTAGCAATTGTTTGTGGTGTAGGGTATATTTTGTGAGAAAAAGGCCTTGAAAATATATGTGAAAAGATACATAGGTATAAGGCCGGCCGAGTGGTGCATTGGTTAAGAGCTGGCTTGGGACACCAGCTCTGAGCAGCAGGGCCCTGGTTAAGATCCCATATGAGGGCCAGTGATGCTGCACCCTCTACAGCTAAGATGGGGAACAACAGTTCGATCTGGAGCTGGGCTGCCATGAGTCACTGGTGACGGCGTACACTGCAGTGCATCTGCAGTGAGCTGCCAAGAGCTGCCGTGAGTGGCCATCCAATGGTAGGCGAGCGATCTGCCTCAGCCGGGAAGAGCACAATGATAATA